CCAAAAATAATTTTAAACACGGAAGTTGAAATTAGCTGACAAAAGCTCAAAAATATCCAGTTTTTACCACAATTAAAGCTAACAGGTGCTAACATTGTCTTAACTGATGCTCAACACACACAAATCTCTTAAAATCTCAAAATAAGTACTCGTGAGTTTTCGTGAACCTTCAAAGGCTTATTTAGGCTAATTATACAAGCTTGGGTAACTATGCAAGTCATTGTAAAACAATAGTTTGTTCTGCAGACAATCAAATATAAATATTTTTAAGGGGGCTAATAATATTGACACTAAAATGGTTTTAAAAAAAATTAAAACTGCTTTTATTCTAGCCAAAATAAGACTTTCTCCAGAGGAAACAATATTCTAGGAAATACTGTGAAAAAAATTCCTTGTTGGTAAACATCATTTGGGAAATAATTGAAAAAGAAACCAAAAAATTCACTGGAGGGCTAATAATTTTAGCTTTAACTGTATACGGTACCATTTATAATTAAATAAAAACTATTTAAATGAGTGATTTAATGTAATTACTGTAATCAAAATAGATCAGGAAGTACAAAGAACCAACCATCCTACTATTGACCTCTATACATCATACAGCAACAAATAAAGTAGGGCCTAGGATTAAAATCTTTTAAACACTTTGACAATTTTCTGCAGCTGAAGCCAGCAGAGCGTGGGGATTCTGTCTTTTTCTCCTGCCACGCCATCAACTCATACGGCGAGGGTCGAGGGCTCATCCAGCTGACAGTGCAAGGCAAGACAATCAGCCATGAACAACACGCTCACATCTTACATGATACTCTTTATCTAGAGACACAAAATCAATAATTTACCTCCCGGCCCCAAGCCACCGCTTACTTTTCAGCTTCTCTGCCTTTTTCTCGGTCTCAATCCTCCACTGTCTGTTTGAAGTCTATTTCCTTTTGTTTTGTTCACAGAACCCCCTGACCCCCCAGAGCTTGAGGTTCGAGAAGTCAAAGATCGTAGTATGAACCTAAGGTGGACGCAGAGGTTTGACGGCAACAGCATAATCACCAGCTATGACATTGAGTACAAGAACAAATCCGGTGCGCCATTGCTTTGTTTCCATTTCAAGCTTGGATGAATTACATTGTGAAAGTGCATTAAATATGTATTTGTATGTCAGAAGAATATGTAGCGAATAAGCTCACAGTACAAGAAGATGAATGGGAAGTGAACAGATTTCTGTGGTGTTGCGACTCGAGCATATTGCCTTATTTTGCTGTTTGTACATCTGTGTTTGTCCTAGTTTTCTGTGCATTGCTTGCTTTTCATTTCCGTATGATTTGACCTGTAAACAGTCCTCTTTGCATGCTAGCAAACATAATGTTCCAGAACAGCTAGGATGGAGTTGTAGTAATGTATCTGTGTTATTTTGTCCTTGTCGTAGACCCGTGGGAGCTGAAACATGCCACCCGTAAGATCTCACCCACTAACAACCAAGCCAACATAGTAGAGCTCCACCCGGCGTCTGTCTACAGCATCCGCATGTACTCCTACAACAAGATCGGACGCAGTCAAGCCAGCAAAGAGCTGACCATCAGCACAGAGGAAGCACGTATGTCTAATGTCTTGGTTCATACTCTACAAATCCATGCTTGTAAATAACCATTTGTTCTCACCAAAATATATGGACCTGGCACCGTTTAATTCTGTAGAACATAAAAGGAGAAGATTTGTGCTCATCTTTTCTAAAACGTTCACAAAACCACCCTGAATCTGTTCTTGAGTTGTTGCCGACTTGTCAATCAAGTTTCAATGGAAGAGAGTTCTTAAACTATAATATGACTTAAAATGGGACAGCCATGGCCTAACGGTTAGAGCGTTGGACTGTGATCCAAAAGTTGCAGGTTTGATTCTCGTCATCAGCATGTTTGTAGGTGGGAGTGAATAACCAGTACTCTTATCTATCTTCATTACTATGGCTGAGGTTATTCCCTTGAGGAAGGCACATAACCCTGGGTTGCTTTGGATAAAAGCATCTGGTAAATCCATAAATGTAAAATGTAAACTTGCAGTCATCTTACGACTTTGTTCCTACAACTTTCATGATGCAACACTGCATAGACTGTTAAGTAAAAATCTGATGTGCAGCTAACGCAGTTTGGTTTAGCAAAAGTTTGAAATCGGCTGCAAAAACAGCACTACAAGCAGCCTTCTGAAAACCTTGAAAACTTACAAATGTACTACTGTAAGTTTGAGAAGTGAGCAGTCATATAGTTGGGAGTTTACTACATGACTGTCAGTACATCCCATATAGTATGAATGGAAGTATTATGAATGGAATTCAGATGTACAACATCCGCCATTTGTCAATATCAAATAACCTACCCGCATCAGTTGCGTCACTTCACTCCCATTGATGAATTCTTTCGTGCAGCATCACGAGATAGTATTGTATCCATCAGATGTGCACTTCAGAATCTTGCCGGAAGTACTAGGTTATCCAGGTTCTTCTTGCATAGTGTTTTTTGAATTCTATGAATTCAGAATACTACTTCCTTTGTTAATGTACTATATAGAATGAAAATCGAGCCAAATGTAAAAACACCAGCTAATAGTGCAGTACTGCATATATAAATCTGAGATTTAGCAATATAAGCAAATCACATATTAAAAATGCAAGTTCATGTTTAGATTCCAAAGATATAAAAAATAGGTCATATATGTACATACATGCAACAAATAATTTAAAACTGCAAAAATGAGCATTTAAATATGAATACGACACGAGGACTGTGCCTTAAGAAGTGAGGAGTAAGCAACATCTCCAGGTGCTTCTTTAAGAACTGGACTAAAAATGTTATGTGAATCCCTGATAAGAAGTCTATATATTAAGTGTACCTTTGGGACAGAGACTCAAGCAGCACTCCATGTAATGCATATGTGCTTCAGACTATTCAAGTTCAAGTCCAGGTTCAGAACTTTTCCTGATCTGGCACTGCCCTCTCTTGCACTTTGCTTCCATGCAATTATCTTATCTGTCCTCTGTCTATTTAATTGAATGTCAAAGATTTGAACTGATTGATACTTCATTCCTTTAATATCCTTGTGACATGTTTCTTTACTTACAGCTCCTGATGGGCCACCCATGGAAGTGATTTTACAGCCAATGACTTCTCAAAGTATCCGCGTCACCTGGAAGGTATGCCTGCAACTTCTAAACTTGGACTTCTTTGGACTTTAAAGTTTTAGATTTACCTGGATCTCTTTTTTTTCACTCCACTCAGGCACCTAAGAAAGAGCTCCAAAATGGAGTGATTCGAGGCTATCAAATTGGTTATAGGGAGAACGGACCAGGCAGTAATGGACAGTACAGTATAGTGGAGATGAAAGCCACAGGTGACAGCGAGGTCTACACTCTGGATAACTTGAAGAAGTTTGCTCAGTATGGTGTGGTGGTCCAGGCCTTCAACCGAGCTGGAACTGGACCTTCCAGCTCTGAGATCAATGCCACAACACTTGAAGATGGTAATGAAACATAATTGTGTACCTGCTAATCTACCTACCCACCTACCTACCAACCCATCTATCTATCTCGCTCTAAGGATTTCTTTTGTATGATTGCACATAAGCCATGTGTCCGGGGCAACTACAGACTGTGGCCCTAATCCGCATGTGTGTCACTGTCACTGAGGCAACAGTGATATTGATGCTGTTAAGGATAATAGTAATAACAACAAGCATAGGAAAAATAATTATAATTAGCCTGTCTGCCAAGGCCCCTCTCCCTGATCCTCTGCTTTTCCTCCCAGTCTAATTATCTGCAGCTGAGCGCATTGTCTCCCCCTCTCTCTTTTCATCTTTCCTCCAGATCCCTCTCTCCGGCTTTCAACTCCCCTCCTCTCCGCTCCCACTCCTCTCTCACTCGCTCTCAAAACACCTTTCATTTATTTCTCCCTCCATCTCCCAACTTCCCCTTCCACCCCTCCACCCACTTCTTCTCCATTCTTATTTTTGGAAAGCTCTTGGGTTATTTTTTTGTCCCACTGTTGAGTTCTTCCATCATTTTATTTTCCCCTGTTGACTTTGTTTTTTTACCTTACAATGTGTTTCTCTTGTCAAGTTTAGTTTTTCTACCTTTTCAACCTTAAAAATCATTCAATGAAGATGGACCAACAGGTTGAAACCTTGTCTGGTATTCCAGCCATCTGCAACTCTAGATCAGCTGAACCAGCTAATAATTATAAAGCTTGATGACCAACAAATAATGTAAAACCACCTTTAAGAGTCAAATGTAGTCCATGAGTGAAAATTATCCAATGTCTGATGGTCAAAGTCAGTTTTGTTGGACTCATTTATAACCATTTGTGGATGTTGACCAGTGGAGAATGTTGGGGAGAAAGATCATTTTGATTGGCACAGACTTCTTATAAACACAGTCCTAACTTGCCTATTTTCCCTTAATAACAGACAAATTAGGACTGAAAAAGTGGTATGAAATAATTTCTCTCACAGGTACAAAATGTACAAGTTAGATGGTCAGCGCAGTCAGCTTATATTCTCTATAATCTTTTGATGTCATAGCTAAAGATAGATGATTTGGTTCACTTCACAGGGTCCTCTTTAAAATGATTCATTAGTAAGATCTAACTGAAAGCATGATTTGTTTATGAGTCAGAGATGACTATTCTGTCATGGTTCTGCCAAGAAAATATAGAGTAGATGTCAAGATGTAGATGTTTTTTTTTTAATTTTTTTTTTTTATGCAACTACACTTAGGTTAGATCTTTTAAGATGCATGGCTGCTGGTTTAAGCTAGTTTGTAAAGCCCTTTTATACTTAAAATGGAATTAAAGAACAAATTAAAATAATGTCATTTGAAACTAAATCTGACCCTATCAAAGCTCTTTTTGAGTTTGTTTCGGCAGTTCGAAACAGCTCACCAAATGCACCTATGCACCTTTAAGATACTATTTGTCCACTGTGATTATGCAACCAGTAGGTGTGTTTTGGAACTCCACCGTCCTTAATGTGCAATTTCTTCTCCCTGATTCACTTCCATGGGGGTCAAACAGAACAAAATCCAAACAAACAACACGTAGCCACATAAATACTAGCGGGTCCTACCTGTACTACTGCTCACAGAGAGATGGGGAGAAGCCCACCTCATTACACCACATCTGTTTTCCACACTGGTGGTAACATTCAGTGTATTTCCATGTCAAACAGATACAAATGTAGAGATGTGATGCACTGTGTTGACATTTTTTCATTGACAAGGCTGTATTTTTATGAAAGTGTTCATCTCTGTCATCGTTGTATTTAGGGGTAAATACAAGCAGCATGACACATTTACAACAAAGCCTACTACAGAGCAGAGGTGTTTGGAGTGTTCGAAAACAGCATACCGTCATTCAGCCCTTTCAATCTTCTTTTTGCCCTCAAACAAATAACAAAAAAGAACATCAAATAAAGTATATTAAGGCTTTGGCTGGTCATAAGCTGGTTTATATGCTGGTCCTAAGCAATTTCTGTGGCTTCTGATTAGAATCATCACATGACCAGAGTAAACAGGCTCATGACTAGCTGAAACCATCCTAAAACTGTTCAAACCAGCAGCCAAGTTTCAACACATACAGTTAGGTCCATAAATATTTGGATGTAATGTCAACTTTAATTTGAGGGTATTTACATGCAAATCAGGTGAACGCTGTAGGAATTACAACAGTTTGCATATGTGCCTCCCACTTGTTAAGGGTCCAAAGTTAATTAGACAGAATAATAAACTCTGTAAAAACTATGCTATTCATCAAAAAGAATATATGGAAGAAAATAAATGAAACACTTTGAAATGACAAATGAATAATTTTAGATGTTAAGTAAGGATGGCAGTATACCTGTAAGTTGTTTTGGGTGTCAGATCCAGAAAACCAAGAAACTGGGTTTTGCGGGCAGGGTTGAAGAATTATTGCGAGTTGTGCTTGTGAGCGCTCGATCAAGTCGCTCTACTCCAAATGGCAGTTTTAGTGTGGTCCACCAGGGCCAGACAGAGTCGGACCCTAAGGCCTCTTCAAACAAATACCATCATTTCTCCTCTGCTCTTTCTCCCTCCCTTCTCTCATCATCTCCTTTACTCACTCCTTCTCTTCCTGCGCCAGCTGCAGCTGCTCCCTCATAGAGCCAAGCCAGCTTTATCCCTCCTCTATCCCTCCTTTCATCCTGTCGTCCGCACATGCTTTTTTCCCTCCCAGCAAGTCACACAGACAGGCTCTGTGTCCCCTCAATAGTGCCATTATTTATTCAGGAACACAATTTGGCACATCACTACTGCCACATTTGCGGTGTATCCGGAAAAAAAAATTGATTCCATTTAGTAGGTGAAAAAGCTCAAGATCAAGATAACAGCAACGTTTCACTTCTCTTCAGTTTCAGGACATGATTGTTCCTTCCATTTTGAGTGCAGTTACAAGGTTGTTGATGCTCTTGGGCCACACCAAGAGCTCCAATTGCAGTATATTACTGTCATTTTACTATATCACTGTAATTGTGCTCTTTCCCTGCAATTTTTGGTTTCCTCTTCACCTATTTTATCTTGTTTCCATTTGGTGCCTGAATTGTCCTGTTGCTTCCTTTATTTTTATGTAACCATCTTTTTTTTTTTCCCTCGAACAGTTCCCAGCCAGCCACCCCAGAATGTTCGGGCCATAACAGTGACATCAGATGAGGCAGTGATCACGTGGTCTGAGCCCCCAAGGATGACCCTGAATGGGGTTCTGAAGGGCTACCGTGTGGTGTTCTGGTCCCTCTACCCCGATGGAGGTGGGTGCTGTGGGGGCCAGACACTGGGGCTCAACCAGAGTAATTATGCACTATTACTGTTACACCCTCACTAGCTGCAGTCCCTGTAGAGCGCCCCCCTACTGTCCACCCATGTATCTTTATCCCAGCCAGTCCAAACCACAGACGCAATTACGTGTACATTTGTGGCAGGACAGGTGTATGTGTGTGTTGTTGTCTATTATATTTAACGTACAAAGAATGTTGATTACAAAATGTATATAATAACAGAAAAAAAAGTATTGGTATAATTACAATGGTGAAACCTCTGTCCACACAATCACTCTTATAATTTTATTAATAATTGGAATTAATGAATAATTATAAGTCTACATGATAACTGTGAAACTACAATTAAAATATTGGAGTTATATAATTTTTTTGTTGTTTCTTTAGTTTTGTTATGTTTTAGAACTGTCAAAACATACAGTGAAGCAGTTTACTATGTTTTAAATGCAATTATTCTTGTGATGAATCATCATATAAACTAGAAATATTGCTGACCCTAAGTTTTTGAACGGTTGTACACCTAAACCAATAGGCTGGGACAGCAAAAATGGTTCAGAAAAAGGTCTAATGCAGGGGTCACCAATCTCGGTCCTGGAAGGCCGGTGCCCCTGCAGGGTTTAGCTCCAACTTGCCTCAACACACCTGCCTGGATGTTTCAAGCATACCTAGTAAGACCTTGATTAGCTTGTTCAGGTGTGTTTGATTAGGGTTGGAGATAAAATCTTTAGGACACCCGCCCTCCAGGAACAAGTTTGGTAACCACTGGTCTACTGTGTTTTAAAACACAAAGTCCATAGAGTTTTCTTTTTCTTTATTCAACTGTGTCACTTACAAAAACAGTACTATGGTGATTACATTAGATTAGGGCTTCACAAGAACAAAAAAATCAGGAAAAACGCAGGGGGCAAATGCTTTCAGGGCGTGTCAGGACGCGTTTTTGCTAATTTAAGGACGGAAAATCTGCCTTGCGCTTCGGCGCATGGTCTAAAAGGGTTGAGTTTATTTTCTTGATGAGATATAGGTGTGTTTTAAGAATAAACCAATTAGAGTCTCATCTCCCATTCCCTTTAAGAGTCAGCTGCGTCGCGCCAAGAGCGCATTCACTATTTACAGGACGCAAAGTCTAAGTGGAAAAAATGAGCATTTCACAAGCAAACAGTTAACAGTTTTTTTTTTACAGAAAACTGTTAAACAGAGCATCTACTGCGTGAGAATGAGAGATAATGGATCACTTTCACTTTCGCTCTTGGATAGGGAAACCTTTATAAAATAAATACTTTTGTTTGTTAAGCGCAAATATTCGTTTCAAAACTATTTCTAAATTCAGTTCTAATTTCCAGCAAACGAATAAATGAATAATAATAGCAAAATGTGCTCAAAAACCTGAGTTATATCCTAAAACACATGCTTTGCCCCATATGGTCTAAAACCTGACAGGTGGGCAAATCTAAGCTTGTTTTTAATAAAACAAATATACATATGGATATAATAAATAATACTGCTAATAATAATAACATTATACAAAATCAAATTGTTATGAATGAACTGAAAAAGCCTCCCGAGATGAAGAAAACATAAAAGCAGTGATTTTTTATATTTATATAGGCAAGAAAATAATATGTTTTGTAATATTTTAATCCTTTATCTTTATATCCTATATCTATTCTTTTTATATCCTATATATATCCTTAATATTTACATTTTTTCATATGTAAAGATATTTGCCTATTGCTCTCTTGTGCGTATTAAGCGAGGAGTTTTGACCGGGTTAGTTTTGGTCTAATGAAAAATCTATTATAGTTTCTCAAAATAGCAACGCGCTAGCGGTCCGCCTCAGAATGCCTTCCTTTTTAGACCAGAACGCCTATGAGCGCAAAAATGAGAGCTAATGCATTTGCTATTTAAACAGCGTAGTGCAACGCCTCAAAACGACTCTTGCGCCAAGCTTAAACTACCAAAAGACTACTGCGTCACGCCTTGCGCCACACTGCGCCGGGTGTATGATAGGGACCCTAATCTTTAGTGTACCAACTCGAAATTCTGTGATGTGACTACTGCAGATTAACACATTACAATAGTAATGCTAAAAGGATATATTGTGCAGCCCTACATCAGATGATAATACTATGAAAATTGTATTATAGATAAACAGCATATCCAAATACCTTGGATAAATCTTACTTTTTGACTTAACAGATAAATATCATTTTCACAGACAAATCGTATTCCCTGCTATAAATAGCTATACAGTAGCAGTGACATTCAAGGAAATGTACTATTTTAGTCTCCTCTGAATATTACCATATTATTTTTTTGTAAGTGAAAAGTGTGTCAGTATGGTTCCTCCTGTATTCCCTTGTGTGATGTGTTTAGTGATATTAGTGAGTATATTGTCTAAATATGCAGAAGGAGAGTCATTAAATGTTCTTCACATCTCAGAATGGGGAGAGATGCAGAACATCACTACCACTCGTGAGCAGGTGGAACTGAAGGGGCTGGAGAAGTTCACAAACTACAGCGTTCAGGTCCTGGCCTACACACAGGCAGGAGATGGGGTCCGCAGCAACGTTCTCTACATACAGACCCGAGAAGACCGTAAGTACATGCTCTATACAAGCAGGTACACACATGACCACTGATCAAGCTGTATTTGCAGATATGGACTGAAACACTGCATCAATTTATATAATCAGGGTTTCTGCATGTTTCATCAAGTCAAATTTAACACCAATATCAGACCAATGTCAGACTGCAGGACTAAACTGTAAAGATTCTGTCTAATGGCCCAGTTATAGATATTTCTTAGGTATATATTTAAATTTATTTTTTATTTAAAAAAAACTATAATATACTATATGTATGTATAAAAGTCTGTCCAAGTCAGTGTCCTTAAAAGACCAAAAAACACAGAGAACTTTTTTTAAACGCATATTATTTTAAGGCAGATAATTAAACCATACTGAAAATAGAGTTAGCAAATAAAACTTTTGTTACAAGTTTAGCTGAGAAGAATTGTTGATGATTGGACATTTTATGGTCTTTAATATTGTTCACGATATTTTAAGACTTTTTAAGACCCCGTGGACATCCTGATAATGCCCTTCCACTTGCTGCAGACTTCTAAAGGTGCATCTCAATTAGTATTCCTAGGTCATGGATTAATAGGTTGTGTACAAAATTTCAGGAACGTCTTCATTGTACAACATCAAAACTAGAATTTATAAACAGTGGCTGAACTAATATTTTTCAAATACACATTTCACAAAAGTTTAATAGTACATTACAGCTAACTAAATAGATTTATATATATATATATATATATATATATATATATATATATATATATATATATATATATATATATATATATATATACAACCATTAAACAATTATAAATGTTTATATATATATATATATATATATATATATATATATATATATATATATATATATATATATATATATATATATATATATATACCTCTATGTTCATTTATTTTAAATATTAATAAAGAGTGTCTTTTTTAGAACATGGGTTAAATCATTTGTTTCCCATGATTCATGTTTAGTGTGTTTGAATATATTAAGGAAGCATAGTAAGCATTGATATGCCCTCATTTTCATGGTGCATTGTGAGATAATTCAGAGAACGAACGTTTCAGTGCTCTTAAAAAATTTTGCAATTGAGACAGCACTTAAAATGGCTGAATTCCTCATCAGTGCACTGACTACTGATCAAGGGAGCTGATTGAGACGCACCCTAAGGCAGCATCCAAGCAACATAAATTAAGTGCCAGCAAGATCATAAACAAAGCTGCTGCAAATAAAGTGCACAAGACTCACAATTAATTCTAATGGAACTGACCATTGTTCTACTACGAATAAAATAAATAAATTAAAAAAACAGAACATACCAAGGTATTTCCACACAAAAAAAAAGACAATTTGGAAAAAAAAAATCATGCTGGTCCTCATTGATATAATGGTAGAAAATAGTCACAAGCGTTAGGCAGAAGAATTACTGAATGGTCCCATGCAACACATGCCATATACTTCAAATGTTTTAAGTTAATACAAAAGACTTTGGTGAACAAAATAAAACAAAAAAAATATACCTTTACTTATAGAAATCATAAGGTATGGCAAGGTAAACAGAAATTTGACACAATATAATTGCAAGTCAACTAACAATTTGACTTTCATCTGGAGATATTCAACCATTTCCTTTTACCTTGAAGATTTTGTGTATTATGTTTACTAACCTTCATTTATCAATGCTGGGTGGCAGGATGGCTCAGTGATAAACAGTTATCTCACAGCAAGAAGGTCACTGACTCAAGCCCTATCTGGGCCAGTTGGCATTTTTGTGTGGAGTCTGCATGTTCTCCCTATGTTCATGTGGGTTTCCTCCAGGTGCTCCAGTTTCCCCCACAGTCCAAAAACATGCGGCATAGGTGAATTGGATGAAATAACTTGTCCATATTGCATGAGTGTGAATATGAAAATGTATGGGTGTTTCCCAATATTGGGTTGTGGCTGCAAGGGCATCTGCTGTGTAAAACATATGCTGGAATAGTTGATGGTTAATTTCGCTCTGGGGACCCCTCAAAATTAATGAATTTATCAAAACTGTGGTCTTGATTTTATTTTTATTTTTTTTTCTCAGAGCAGGTGGTAGTAAGATTATTTATTAGTCCATTTTCTTTTTCGCTTAGTCCCTTTTTTAATCAGGGGTCGCCACAGCAGATTGAATCACCAACTTTTCCAGCACATGATTTACACAGCAGATGCCCTTCCAGCTGCAACCCATCACTGGGAAACACACATTGCACACACTCACATGCACTATGGCCAATTTTAGCTTATTCAGTTTACCTAAAGCAAGTCTTTGGACTTGTGGGGTAAACCGGAGCACCTAAAAGAAACCTACGCGAACACTGCGAGAACACGCAAACTTCACACAAAAATGCAAACTGACCCAGCCAGTGCTCGAACCAGCGACCTTCTTGCTATGAGGCGATTGTGTTAACCGATGTTCCACCGTGCTGCCCGTGGGAGTAAACTGTGGCACTAATAGAGTTTTGAATGCACAGTTGTACACACGAAGACTATCAATATCAAGATTTTCCTTACATAATCCATTAGATTTCATGTTGTTTCACCAAACCCTTTTATATACCCCCAAATACAATGTACAAGGGACCATTATTTGATCCTTTTTAAAGCTTACTGGCAACTATACACTGCCATTCTATAGATGAGCATAAACCTTTTTTCTAAAGGAATAAAACTTTGTGATAACACTATAGCATGAAATTAAATAATAACTGACCTTTCATTTTCCGGAATACAGTAAATAATAGGAATGTCCAGATCCAATCACGTGATTGAAAAATCGGGCCCGATCACGTGATTTCAGACTCAATCAGAATCGCACGTTACCTCCTGATCAAGACTCGAATATATATGTACTCAGAGTTAGACCTCTTTACTTTACAAATAACACCAAAATGTGTGGCATGACATCATTTTTTTGCAGAGACAATATTGGTTAAATACCAGCAAAGTAATACATGGAAGCAGCTTGAAATGGAAAGGGCAAGTATGTCTGCGGTCTGGAGCTTTTATAAAGTTGATGGTGATAACATTGCCATAGTGTAGTAAACTGTGAGATATGTAAGCTTAGGATTGCCTGCCGGGTATTTTAAGTTGAGGTGCTATTTGTTTTTATATTAGATTTTTTTTTTTATATTTACTGTTGCAGTATTTATTTTATTTATTACTTGATTGTTCAAACTACTTCACAAACGTGCTCTGTTTGTTAACAGAGTTGTTGAATGTTAAAATAAGGTGAATTAAATAAAAAATAAAAAAACATCCTAGATCTGTTTCTTCGCTCTTTTTTATTCTTTTTATGTATCAAATCAGGTTTTTTTATCAAAGCAGATACTCAAAGTCAAATGACTACGATTCGGACTCAAGGGCAAAAAACCTGATCAGGACATCCCTAATAAATAACCTTTTTAAAAATATTTACATGTATTATAATCCTTAGTGTTGTAAAGCTGCTATTTGTTTATTTTATTTTATTTTTTTAATAAATGGAAAGTTTAAAAGAGCAGCATTTAAATGGAACAGAAATCTTTCGAAACAAAAATGTGTTTACTGTCACTAGTCTCCATTAAAAAGAAGCTAATCAGGTATGAAAGCACAAAATGTAAAAGAATATTATACTGTCTTTCATCTATGACAGGTAACTGTGACACTCCAATGTGCTTTCAACTGCATTCAAACACACAGCCACATTATGTACGAGCCACTTTGCCTTTACCCCCTGGCTCTATTCAAGCTCAAGGGTGTGTGTGCACGCACATGCATAAGGTCTGGTGGGGGGAGGTTCTGGGGTACAAAATCTTGCCACAAAAGCCACATTAGCTGAAGGCAAATGCCATGTTGTTTAGGTCTAGATGCTGCCGAATTGCTTGATTGCTGGATGCGGTCGTTGTGGTGACATTTAGGCTCTGATATAGCATTAGCACACTTAATGAGAATTAAGAAGTTGAAGGAGGGGGGTCTGTAGAGTGGGCATGCGTCTCAAAGCAGATCCCTCATCCAACACAAGGAGAAGGATTTATTCTTTGTGGATTAGCCGACATTAATTTTGTGCTTACACTGGTCGGGATAGGATTACGGCGATATCTGTCTCTCCCGTTTTCCCTGGTGGAGTTGAGGGGGAGTTTAGGGAAATAAGGGGTGTGTGTGATGGCAGTGAAGAAAAGGAAAGATGTACTGATCTTTTTCATTTCAGTGAATTTAAAAGAAGTGCGTTTGCATGGGGTTTCTTTAAGTGGACTGGTCTCCATCACACTCCAAAGACATGCTGTGTAGGTGAACTGGTTAAAAAAAATTAAATTGGCCTATGTTTTTTATGCAGAGGTTCATTCCACTATGGCGACCGCTGATGGATCAGGGACTAAGACTAAAGGCTGGGTTATGCATATGTGTCAAATAATCAGTGTGACCCCACGGCGAATACCTTGCACATAGCCATGCATTTATACTTCTGCATGCTATTTTTTATATATATATATTTTTTTATAGCTATTTAATAACATTTGAACAATGCTAGCTGGCAGTGAGGTTTTTATGCTCCTGTGTGTGGCGTTTATTTGCTGGTGTTTTGTTTTGAATGCTATATCTTAATGTACAAGTAGCTAAAATTGCACATTCAGAGGAAGGAACTGGCGGACGTGCAACAACTTTATTGATGAGGTGAACACAAAACAAAATTTCCACCTGGAGCTCCTTTATGGGACTCGACACTTGTAAACACTCACTCATGGTGTTCGAGTGGCTAAAGTGATTTAAAAGTGACTTTGGCTTTAAAGTGATGCCAAAGGATTACCTCCTGTGTTAAAATTCTGACCTAGAGTAAAATATGACTAGGGTTGGGTATTGAAATGGTACCTAATTGGTACCTGTAAATTGTATGCACCGGACAGAATTAGCCTATGAATTTCGTTGCCACTGGTGTTGCGTCAAGAACGTAAGCATCAAGGTGTGCATTAAAGGCACACATGAGTAAATGTTGTGTTACACCATCTCTAAACATTTAATTGTGAACAACTACGAGGGATATGGACAGTGTCATGTAAGGTGATTGATCTTGTAGCTTAGATGTACGTAGAGGGCACAGCGGACAGTACACTGCATCTGAAGAGTGACTCCCTTTACAACACACATAACCGCATTCATCAAATTTGCTTAAACTAAGCGAAATCTAAACTAAACTAAAGTGTGGCTATACTTTACAAGCAAGAACTCTGACTAAGCAACAAGCAGCAGATGCTTTACAAAAGTTGTGTATGGCGGGACACGTCAAACTTAATAAAACATTTGAGGACACATGGAATCAACTGAAAGACAGAGGAATGCACTTTGACAGCTTGCAACATCATCCTGCACTTTCACAGAGTATGTTTACATGGACACCAATACCCAGATTTTAATATGATTAAGACAATACTCTGAATAATAGACTACCATGTACACAGCCATTTTTGATTACCTTAAAGGACCACAGACACCCGCATAGCAAAATGCTGAGGTTTTTTTCCCATTCGGTGTGCGATATCAAATTCCATTAAAACTATACACTCTTCCACCAGTCCTTACTACATATCCTAATTCAATAGCCCTATCTCAATTTGTCATGGGGGCATGAATGAAACGTTCCAGAATGAAAGTGAAACTCCTGGAATGCAGTTAAAAATTGAAAATTTTTAATTACATGAAACTCTGGAGGAAGCGTTGGATAGTGTGGTGACGCAATGACGTTAATCAATCTATGTGCTATGACATGTAAAACAGGATCATGAAAGGAACATTCAAAAAGCAACTCTTGTTAACTTCCTAATTATAGTATTGTCTTATTCAGATTAAGGCAAATCATTAGATTACTGATGTCCATGTAAACGTAGTCACAAGCTGCAATGATTTTGACCCTTTTCACAGGTTAGTAGTAAGCTAATGTAATGTTAACTGCATAAGGCAAACCCTAAATTCCTACTAACAAACAAAAAAAATAAAATAAAAAAAAGATATTAATGCAATTCAAATATCTAAAATATCAATTGATCTATACTTTAACCTAATTATGAATATATATATTTATATTGTTCAATTATAATGAATAACATTTTTTTGTTAAATAATTTTGTGGCTTTTCCCAGAGATGGGTTGCGGCTGGAAGGGCATCCGCTGCGTAAAAACTTGCTGGATAAGTTGGTGGTTCATTCTGCTGTGGCGACCCCGGATTAATAAAGGGACTAAGCCAACAAAAAAAATGAATGAATGAATTTTGTGGCTCAAATGTATCGGTTCAGGCACCGATTTAGAACCGGTATCGAAGTAACCCCAAACGATACCCAACCCTAAATATGACCACATAAAAGTTCAGATTTTTTACTTTATTAAAATAGCGCAACATTTTCAGATCTTGAAGTAATTTAACTTTATCCCTATATGTTTTTTCTCTTTCAGACCCTGGTCCTCCAGCAGGCATCAAAGCAGTGCCATCTTCTGCCAGCAGTGTGGTGGTATCCTGGCTTCCCCCTGTCAAGCCCAATGGTATTATCCGAAAATACACCATTTACTGTTCCAGCCCAGGATCGGGCCAACCGGTAAGGCACAAATAGAGGGAAAGTTATTTTCAACATTGATCTTCTAGTTGGCATCAATTGGTTTAGGTTGCTTCCTTTTTTTGTCAAAAATAAGACCATGGTTGTGTGGTTCTTTGATGCATCCTATGGTGATTAATTGTTTTTTAACATACATGTGATAAATTTATATGGGTGTGTGCAGGGAATGGGTAGGTTCAGAATGCTAGTATGAACGCCAGTATGAATCAATGTTTATTTCATCGTATCTTCTATTTGCGTCTGGATTTTGTTGGCGAGTGTATTTTTAAACTGTGCATGTGTGAGGTTGTGCTGCAGTATCAGCGGGATGTGTGTGTGCGTGTGTGTGTGTAAATGAGAGGCTCATACTGCAGTGTGTGCATGCAAGCTCACCCTCCCGTCTCATTTGCATATCTGCGTCTCATCACGTTGCCTAGACAACCTCATCTGTTCATCAGGGAGGGCAGGAAACAAGCTGACAGCACACACACAAACACACACACACACACACATCTAACAGGCTCTATCACATTTATAACCACCACCTCGACAAACACACACACACACACACACACATAATTTGTGTACTCTCACACTGAATTAATGTACCTGTCCAGATGTACACATGCTCACTCTCTTTCTTTCTTTCGCTCATTCACAAATCACTCCTCTCTCTCTCTCTCTCTCTCTCTCTCTCTCTCTCTCTCTCTCTCTCTCTCTCTCTCTCTCTCTCTCTCTCTCTCTGGCCTCTCACAGAGCACGGGGTCATTACTATGTAAATTAGTGTGAGTGGGGGGGGGGGGGGGTGAAGGAGGAGGAAGGGGGGTCAGACTCAGTGTGCGGGGAGTACTTTTGTTCCTCTTTTCATTATCTCCCTCTATCGCTCCCCGGATCACTGCTATCTCCACACCGGAGGAATATTTTAATATCCTTTACAGTGCTCCACCCCTCCCGCTTGCACCTCCCGCACCTGATTCATGCTGAGTGAGACAGAGGGAGTGTGGAGAAAAAAAAATAAATAAAAAAATAAGATGAATCGCAATGAACTAGGGAGACAAGGTTCAGGAGCCCAGTGAGTTGCCCACCCAGACAACATCTTTAGGGATCATACTAGACACATTCACAATACTGCCATCTAAGGAAATCTTGGCAAGATCAACTGATTTACTGAACTGATTATTGTCATTATAGCTATCAACTGTATTACGACTTATAGCAGTATAATACTAAATATGATTATATTTATTAAGATCATTATTATTATTATTATTATTATTATTATTATTATTATTATCCAAGTATATAATAATATTATATAAATTCAAGTCTTTGTATTAAATGCGAAAGCATAAAGCAGTCATTTAAAAAATGTAGTAAATATTAGAATTTATTACACAAAGTTGATTAAATGATGATTTTATATTATGTCATTAGTTTCAAAACATTAAATTATTCTGTTTAATTAATTATTTCTCTACATTAGAAATTAAACTGCTAGCGGGTGGGAGAAAATGGTAAATATCTAATCTGTGAGTGATTAAGTCATTTGATTCATTCATTAATAAATGAATCATTGGCTCACTTAATTTAAAAATGTAGATTTCATTAAATATTGTTAACGGTATAATATTAACAGTAAATATTATTATTATTATTATTATTATTATTATTATCATTATTATTATTATTATTATTATTATTATTATTATTATTATTATTATTATTATTATTATATTTAATAATAAAGTTATTACGTACATGTGAAAAGCATTAAGCAGCCATTTACAAAATGTAGAAAATAAATATTAGAAAGTAGAAAAAATATTTATCACACACAGTTGATGAAATATTGATCTTTTATTTGATGATTTTATATTAGTTTATTAACTATAACTATTTTGTTTAATTAATGAATTCATCCTCTAAATAAGAAAATTAACTGCTATTGAGTGGAGGTAAATGGTAAATATCTAATCTGTGAGTCATTCAGTCCTTTGATTTATTCAGCGATGAAGTAAACCCTTTAAGAAATGAATCATTGGTTCACCCGATTTGTTTGAAATGCGGATAATATTATTATTTTTATTATTATTATTATTATTATTATTATTATTATTATTATTATTATTATTATTATTATTATTATTATAGAAGTATCATTAGGGATCATACTAGACACAGTCACACCACTGTTTCTAAGAAAACTTTTTTGATGTCAAGGCCTCATAAAATATGCCAGTCTTGTAACAAGGTATCCTGATCCTAAAAGGCAGTAACTGATTGCTGTATGGATTGATTTACTGTACTGATTGGTTATTGCTTATATATCTGTAAACTGTAGCTGTACTTTATAACTTTTAACTGTAGTACTACTAATAGAAGTATATTACCAATTGTTCTTCTTCTTCTTCTTCTTCTTCTTATTATTATTATTATTATTATTATTATTATTATTATCATACTTAATAATGATAAGATTATTATTAGTAGTAGTAGTATATACAAGTATATAATAATGATAATAATATTGCATAACAATTAGGTCATTGTGTTAAATGTGAAAAATCATCAATCAGCTATTTACAAAACATAGAAAATATATTTTAGAATTTATCACACACAAAGTTGATTGAATGATTTTTTTATTTGATAATTTTATATAATTTCATCAACATATGAAACTATTCTGTTTAATTAACTTATGGAGTGGAGGTGGAGGTAAATGGTAAATATCTAATCCCACTGATTCATTCAGTGATGGATGAATCATTGGTTCACATTAATTCATTGAAAATGCAGATAACATTATTAGTAGCAGCAGTAGTAGTAGTAGTAGTAGTAGTAGTGGAGGTGGTAGTGGTAGTAGTACACTGAAATCAATGGTTCATTGCAAATTGTTGCAAACAATCTATATAAACTGAGTTTAAACAAACATATCTAGTTGAATGTTACAAAATTGTATTTGTTTGTTTAAATTTAGCCCGTATAAATTGTTTACATTATTATATGATTTTATTAGTATCAAGATATTAAGCTATTACGTTTGTTTAATTATTCCTCTAAATTAGAAATTAAACTGCTGAAGGGTGGAGAAAAATATTTAATCCGCGAATCAGTCTGCCTTTTGATTTATTCAGCAATGAAGTAAACAACTCTTTATTGAATAAATTATTGATTTACTCATTTCAAATTCAGACCACATTATTATTTATATTGTATTATTATTATTATTATTATTATTATTATTATTATTATTATTTTTCTACAAAATGTAGAAAATGTAAATTAGAAGAAATTTTATACACAAAGTTAACCAAAAGATGACTTTTTATTTGATGAATGTATAATATTTTAGTTAGTATCAAAACATGAAACTATTCTCTTTAATCAATGTCCTCTAAATATGAAATTAATCTGCTAGTTGGTAATGGTAAATATCTAATCCTCGGGTCGATTCATTCAACAATGAAATATACAACCCTTTAAAAAAGAACCATTGGTTCAACCATTAAAAACATACATTTTTTTTCAAGTTGAATAATAATGATCCATTGTGAAATAAAAGTAACATGTTCTAAATCAATCCCTGCCGTTTTAGCTATAAAACAATGCTTCCTCAAAAGACAGCTGCATATACAATAGTCTATAGCAAAAACACTCTCTAGGTTAAAGTACAGACATAGCAAGACTTATTTTATTATAAACAGCATACAAAAACATATTTACCCAAATTTCAATTAGCCTCAAACCATGATAAAAAAAATGCCATGTCAACATGAAGTAAGACCATTGTGTGTGTGTTTGTTAGTGTCGGGCCGAGGGGTATGATGGAGGATAGCAGGGCAACATTCAGGCCGATCGGTGGGAATGACACTCAGTGTGTTTGCATGTCTGCAGGCAGCAAACGTTCACTATGATGAGCATGCGTTCAGACAGCAGACACACGGCTCCCTTAAACACACTACAATTACAGAGAGCTCCAAGCACAGCCCAACGTCACATAATTTCTCTGTGTACAATGATACGGTTTTATGTTTTTGTTGTGAATTACAATGAAAGGTGGATATAATAATAGAAATACTCATTGTGGAGTGTGTGTATGTGTGTGTGTCCCGCGCATGCTGAGGTGAGCAGCAGATCTCTCTCATTAGTCGGCCTCTATTGTTAGTGTTATCTGAGGCTGACTGATCTAGTGTGTCTAGGGGTATTGTCTTTTTACCCTCTCATCTACTTGTGTAAGGCCCCCTGGGTCTCTCTCTCTCTCTCTCTCAAACACACACATATGCACAGACACACACATGCACATACACACAATTCAGCCTTTTTCACTCACACAAAGAAAACCAGCAGAAATCTCTTAGCGTGTTATTTAGCAAACGCTTTTAAGTCAAGGGTAAAGGAAAGAATAGTGTTTGAATAATCATTTTTTTCCAGGTGCTGCCATACCAAGAATTACACATTTATCTTCACAGTTAAAGAGCTCAGTATAAATCCTGTATGAAAACAAGTCATCATCTTTCATTTTTAGCTTTGAAAAGCATTTTTTATAAATGCTGGAGCCTGGAGTAAGGCCATATGCATACAGAGTGTACAACACTTTATTATGGTGGTAAATTATTCAACTGTACTCATCAGTTATTAATTGTGTTACCTTTTTTGCACTTACTAGACACCTATGATGACAACTGTGTGTAGGTATAGTGTGTCCACAGTCATATTGGAGTTATAAAGACAATAAGTGTCTTTTTTATATCTCCTGACAATAAAATTGAATAATAAAATCCCTCCTATTTTGAGGCCTACCCAAACAAGACATAGAAGTGTGGTTTCCCCACACACCGGATTGATTGACAGCCGCATAATAAAATGTCTCTGTAGTAATGCGTATAATCATATCAACAAGGCAGAACGTGCAAAAAGCAACTGAAATTAATCCTGGTTTGTGGACGTTAAATCAGGTTTATTTTGTACATTAACATATGCCTACAGTAGTGGATATTAACGTGTATCCTGTCATATTCGGGCCTTATTTTAACTATCTAGCCGCAAAGTCCAAAGGATGCAAAAAGGTGCTATTTTAAGGACATTAAAATCTGCTCTACGTCACGGTGCATGGTCTAACAGGGTCGAGCTTATTCTCTAAATGAGTCAGGCGTGTTTTGAGAATAAACCAATCAGTCTCATCTCCCATTCCCTTTAAGAGTCAGTTGCGTCACACCATGGCACATTTTCTAGTATTTCTCACAAACGTTATGCGAGATCTGCTTCCTTCATGTCTGTCACTGTGCTGTTTATCTGACGCAGCCGAGACAGAGATTGAGGCACACTCTGACATGCACAAGGGAATGGTGGGCAGGGAAAACTAGCATTAAAGGCACAGGCAACAAAACAGCTACACTGTATTCAAAGAAGAAAATTCCGAAATTCTGAAAGGTATAATCAATAATCTTTTGGGTGTTTTGAGCTGAAACTTTGCAGACACATTCTGGAGACAAAAAAAAAAGAATCTTATCTTTTGAAAATGAAGTAATAATGGTGCACTTTAGTGTAAACTCCTGATTTTGTCCAACATTTTTGTTTTCAAAAAATATAGTTACAGTTATTTAGTCTGCTGCAAACAAGTTTAAAACTAATGCAGTTCTGTATCGTGCCACCAAATAGAAATAAAAAAGGTCTTCTAATTAAACCCAACTTCATTTTGTACAAATTTTCACATATTTACAGGTATAAAGGACAAATTATGCTAATTTAAATCACAGTTTCAGCTACTTTCATTTTACACCACACCAAAATCCCACCAAAACATATGAAAATGTAAGTGAATTATAACAGAGCAAACTTTTCTGGAATCATAGTAGTGCTGTGTCTTATTTGTTTAATCATTTAAGATTACATGCTCACTGACTGACTGAATGGGCTGCGTGAGGCCAGCAAACATGATGTAGCTTTCAGTTATGATGAACACAGTTTCCATAATTATACTTTATTTATAGATAATTGTTTATCTTGACATTTGTCACTGAACTAACACCATAGGTAGTTGGAAGATCAATGTAAAAGGCCTAAAAATCTGAAAACCACTGTTAATATATACTGAACTACAAAAAAAAGGCTATTTGGGCAATGAAATCTAATTTCCATAACCAGAAATATAAATCTGAAATATAAAGCTGACTTTCAGTAGTTTGAAAACAGTGCAGCTAGGGCTGCACGGTATTGGAAAAAACGTACTTTGTAATATTTTTAATTTTCAGCAATTTATTTTGGAATATTTCACCAAATAACTTTAATTGCTCTATTTTGAATTAATAAATACATTAATATAGAATGGGGAGATTTTGTAGAGGAGTGCATTTGCTGAATATATAATAGACTAGTAATCAGTATAGTTACAGTAGAGTGATGATATAAATGAAGGAGTCTTACAGTATTCAGGTACAGAAATAAAGTAATCAAACAAATAATAAAGTTGTATGGTCTTCATTATATACATTCTTAAAGACAATACAAATTGCAAAAAAAAAATCCTTGTGCCCAAATGCTTTTAACTCATTTGAAATGCTTACACAGTCACAGGCCTTAAAACACACACAGCTAATAAACTTTAATGTTTTCATGGTTAAACTGAAATGACTCAATAGTACCTGGTGATATAGATGTTAAAATGATATATTGTGTAACTTGAATTGGTGAATTGTTTTTCCAGTCATCACTTACCTTTCTTTATCAGCTGTAGATATTTTTTTTCTAACATACATTTTTTGCAATGCTTGCAGGCACCCAGTGAATACGAAGCCAACCCTGAGCTGTTAATATACAGAATCACCCACCTGACCCGGGGTCAGCAGTATCTGATCTGGGCAGCTGCTGTCACCACTGCTGGTAGGGGCAACATTAGCGAGAAGGTGACTGTGGAGCCCGCTGGGAAAGGTGAGTCCACCTAGAGATTAATGGGAAAACAACTGTTATTGATAGCCAGATGCACTAAAAACATCCATATCTGATCTTAAAACAGACAGTTTGACGCATTCTGAGCAGAAATCAATGTTTGAGCTTTCCTGTCTGTTATTTTAATTTATTTATTCAATGATCATACAAGAATTGTGCAGTTGGCTGACAAGGCAAAGAACCGGAGTGAGTGCAGGGTCAAGCAGTCAGCAATGCTCTCTTTTTCTGCATGCTTCCTTTCATTCTCTGCTGATGGATGGAGGTATAACCTGCCATTTATTATGTGGAGAGGAGTAAAAGCAACCAAATGAGAAAGAGATGGCAGACAATGACCAGGCCAATATGCCAGACAATGAAGGGGGCAGTTCAATCAATATTTTCTGGGTTAGAAAACGAGGGAGAGAAGCTATAAATGAGTGTGTTCTTTATTATTTAGCAACTAGTTCACAGCTGGCTCAAATAATACGAATCTCTTGATGCCTGATTTTCTATAGTCTCTACTGTATGTATGATTTACATTATGGTTATGTAATTCTAAGTACATGCAGTATGTGACCCTGGACTGCAAAATCTGGGTCAGTTTTTGGAAATTGAGAATCAACTGAAAGTGGAATAAATATCCTTTCCATTGATTTATATTTGGTTAGGATAAGACATTTGTTTGGGGGAAAAAAAAATTTGAAAATGTGGAATCTGAGAGTCCAATTCAAATTCTAAATACTGAGAAAAATCAATTTAAAGATAATCAAATTTGGTTTAGTGCAACCCATATTACTAATCAAAATTTAAATTTTTATAGATTTACATAAGTAAATTAACAAAATATCTTCATGGAACACATTCTTTACTTCACACAGTCTTTAGATCAGATAAAATAAAATAAAAATCAACACGTTTGGCCCAATGTAATTTTATTTATTCCCAAACAAATAACAATGCAACCTTATTAGGTTGCATTGTTATTTGTTTGGGAATAAATAAAATTACATTGGGCCAAACGTGTTGATTTTTATTTTACCGGGCTATTGCCCGTTTCTAATGAGTGATATGGTACAGTACAGTTCAGTTTGGTACGCTTTTATGGCCATTTCCACTGTAAAAAGGTATCTAAAAGTGAACCGTACCATACCACTTTTTGTGTACCCTTTGCAAAGGGTACCTAAGGATGACAAAAGGGTACCAAAAGGCGGAGCTAGACGCACAGTTGAATGCTATTGGCTTACAGAGAAGTGTCACTCATGCATACTGTACAATAGCAAAAGAATGAAAAAAAATACTTTTTTTTTTTTAACATACGCAGCTGAGGCATTACACTGTAATACTATATACATATAACAAGCTCAGAGACCAGAGCTCAGACAAACCTTGTCTTTGTCTTGATGTAAAGCCACAAAGCCAAGAACAAAATCTGACATGTCTTGTTGTTTCACGAGGCTGTCTAAAAGTGCGAGCTGTTTTACTTTTTCCAGGGAGCTCGCGATTGCTCGTGTACACATCTATATTTGAAGTAACTTCTTGAGCTGATGACAATAACATGCGCGTGATTATTAAAGCACTTCTGATATCCGATTCTTTCATAAACAGAAAAGTACAAAAGTGAAGCTCAAAAAGCAAAGGATAAGCCTGAAAAAAAAAAAAGAAACGAATGATTCTCTCACCAACCTAAAACAAACAAACTGCCATCTTTAACTATTATCATCACCTTTTAGACTATTATGAACTCAGGATGATGGAACTACTCTCTAACAAGAGGTTAGATGTGATGGTGAAAATTAAAGACACATATGAGAGGTTTGCACTGATTGTGGGCAATGCTGCGTGTTGTTTTGAACCCAAATAAGGATTAAATGTATGCTGTGTGTAGTTTTTCTGTAATTGGTAACATATCGGAAACTGTAAGTAGCTGTATGTGTTTATTTGTGGCATTTATTTATTTATTTTATATAATTGCAGACATTACTGTAGACTATTTCGCATGGTCATTAATCTGCAGTTATAATCAAATCATGTTTATAGAAAAGTTTGTAATAAACATTTATTCACAAGTATTTATGTGTTTAAAGCATCTGTTTTGTAAGAAGTGCTTCTCATTGGATATGTAAACCATGCGTAGATTTACTTTGATCGAGATATCCTCAAACGACGTCGACTTTGTCGTACACCAGCTTTGGTACCTTTTAGGCAGTGGAAACGCAAGCCAGATAAAGGTGACCCGCATCGCCCTGTACCGTACCATACTGTACCATTCAGTGAAAATGGGTCATAAGACTGCTTATATGCTTCTTAACCTAGCAGACACACAGCATTATAAGAAATAAATATTAGGTTAGATTCAGGTTGCCAGCTTCAAAGGACAATGTTATTTTGACATCCAATAACGACGTGAAATGATGACGTTGATATTCTGTTGATTTTAGGTTGTGTTGAAAAGTGACCGAAATCCAACATCAACCAATATCTTAAACCAATGTCACATTGATGTCAAATACTGACATTTATTCGTCAGGTATGGCAACTAAAATCCAATGTCTGATAGACGTTCTAGTGGTAACGTCCACACAAGGTCAAGCTGTAACCTCTTTAGACGTTGATATTTTGTTGTTTTTAGATTGTGTTGGAAAGTAATCAAAATGCAATGTCTGTCCGACCTTAGACACTGATGTTGGTCTAACTTTGGGTTCTGAAATCAACCCGATTTTTATTTCCAAACAAAATGCAATGTCCGACAACATTGGGGTACCATGTTGATGTCCTGTGCCAACTAGGGCCACACATTTCACACAGAACATGTTTGACATGGCGAGGCAGTGGTGCAGTAGGTAGTGCTGTCGCCTCACAGCAAGAAGGTCGCTGGGTCACTGGTTTGAACCTCGGCTCAGTTGGCGTTTCTGTGTGGAGTTTGCATGTTCTCCATGCCTTCGCGTGGGTTTCCTCCGGGTGCTCCGGTTTCCCCCACAGTCCAAAGAAATGCGGTACAGGTGAATTGGGTAGGCTAAATTGTCCGTAGAGTGTGAATGTGTGTGTGTGGATGTTTCCCAGAGATGGGTTGCGGCTGGAAGGGCATCCGCTGCGTAAAAACTTGCTGGATAAGTTGGCGGTTCATTCCGCTGGGGCGACCCCGGATTAATAAAGGGACTAAGCCGACAAGAAAATGAAATGAACTGAAACATGTTTGACAATGTTAGGTGCAGTGGAGTGAAATATGGAATAAATCCATAGTTTTATAAATTATTACAAATCTCATTTTTAACTTGGAGGGTTCATACACATTTTTACTACTAAAATTCCAAGACTTTTCCATGACTTTCAGGTACATTTCCATGACCTATTGTTTCATGCAATGTCTACATATGAAAAGGAAATACAATGCATGTTCAAATTTATTACAGCATATCGTAAACACAGAAATCTATTTCAAATTATATTTATATTAAGGACAGCCTATTATGGGATGGGGACAGTGTGAAAGTGTGATAGTGTGACATCACGCGAAGCGGCTTCCGGGTCCAAGTACTCTATTCAACTAAATGGGAAGACTCATGAAATGGTAATAATAAACGTTTACAAAGTGATTTAATACTTTCGAAAATCACGATCGCAATTCATATGTCCATGCCTAATATCCCATGGCTAGAAAGTAATTCATTTTTTTATAAATTGTTAATTTTTTTTTTTTATTTGTTACACAGCAAGCCCAGAGATTGTTGTGTACACTATGACTTTATACAAAATTAACTTATATGTGTGATAGGAATAAAACGTAATCATAAACGAATGATTTCTCCACTCAAATGAATGGCGGCTTGGACCCGGAAACAGTATCACATATGTCACCACTTAACATGCGGATAGAAGTCAAGACAACTAACTTATATTCAAGTATACAAATATTTGTTTTTCATGACTTTTGCAAAACTTAGTGGGTGTTTCTGTTTTTCCAAAACTTTTCTAGGCCTGAAAAATGCTACAGTGTATATCAAAATCCCATGACTTTTCCGGGTTTTTTTCATGACCATATGAACCCTGTAACTTGTTTGATGCATTTTTAGAGCACTGCATTACTGCAAAAGACTCCAGGTCTGTTTAGCGTTTTAGGCCCAAATAACCTTTGCCAACCTTCATTTACTTCCTTTGAAGAGTTTACAACTTAATTGGAAAGGTTAGTCCTCCCTACTACTTGCATAAGATATTTTTCATACTAATAAATTTACATATGATTCTTTGTACATCTTTTCAGCTCCTGCTAAAATCCTGTCTTTTGGTGGAACTGTGACCACTCCATGGATGAAGGAAGTCCGGCTGCCATGCAGCTCTGTGGGAGAGCCAACACCAACAATCAAATGGACCAAAGACAGGTTTGCAATCACTTTACTATTAGTATGGATACCCATAAGTTTAGCTGTAAGATCACAAACACATCTTAATTTAGTCCCAGTTCTTAGAAATTCTGCTTTATCAATGAATGAGCAGGTCAATATGATTGTAATCTGATCCTCACAGTGAGGACACTGCAATCCCAGTCACTCAAGATGGTCACCGGAATATTCTTTCAAATGGTACCCTGGTGCTACGCTCTGTGAAAGCCGAGGATTCTGGGTACTACACCTGCACAGCCACCAACACGCTGGGGTTTGACACAATCATCGTGAACTTGCTGGTACAAGGTAAGAAATACCGTATTTTACACACTGTCCTGCAAAATGATCCTGGGTCAACAGTAGCTTGCTGTTTCTGGAACAACATTTCTATCAACCAATTGAGTTCAGTTTCAGAGATGCAGTCATATTTGATTATCTTTTGCTGGCCTAAACAAATCTCCTATCAAAAGTGTTGAGATTTAACACAGATGTCACTTTTCAAGAACCTTTCTGTTGGCCAAGGTGTCAAATATGAATGACCATGTAAGCAGTGATATATATTAAGCTACACTGTCAGTCGAAACATATACATTTTAAAAGTGCAAGCAAAGCAGATGTGCATGTGTATTGTGTTGCAGTGCCTCCAGACCAACCACGTTTGACCGTTTCCACCACGTCCACCTCTTCTATCACTCTGGCTTGGATTCCTGGAGACAACGGAGGAAGCTCCATCAGAGGTACAGTACAAACATCTGCCCTGTATCTAACTTTTTACCTTACACTGTTTATATTGATGACTCCTCAAAGAACATGTATCTTTCTCGATCTCTCTCTTTTCCCTATCTCTAATGTTTATTACATTTGGCACATTTTTCTATCTCTGTCCATCTTTCGCCCAGATTGTTTAATCTGTCACTGTGTCACATGCTACCGTCAAACTGCTTGCATCTTGCAGCAAATTAGGTAAAAACATAGAGGTCTGTGGTGTTTGTGTGTGGAAAGGTGGGAGGAGAATAAGGAGCACACAAGCCTGTCAGCGGGTAAATCCTTTTGATGTGGCACCCTTTATTTTGCCATCTGCCAAAGCCAAAGTGAGACACCAAATCTGGGCCGCTCCTAATGAAGGGCGACGCCATATTGTGCGTCTATTTGCATAACTGTGCAGTCAGCATTTCTCTCTCTCTCTCTTTGGGTAACTAATGGAGGTTTACAGTGATCTAAAACATCTGAGATTGTTTTTCTGATTAGTCTGTAAGGTTAATGCTCCATCTAGTGGTTTTTGTTAGGATATATATGTCACACAGTGTCCTGAGTCACAACAAAAACAAATCCATGCTTTGGTGATTAATACTGAATAAATAAAATTAAATAAAATAAATAGTTGATCAAAAAAAATTATAAATAAAACTGTGTTAAATGAAACACATGTTATATAGTATGTAGTAAACACTCCATCTTGTATAATCAACAAGCAGTGGTATGTTAAAATGTGTGTTAAAAAATTCAGTAATCTGATTGTTCTGTGTGTTCAGGTTTCGTGCTGCAATATTCAGTAGACAACACTGAGGAGTGGAAGGACGTTTTCATCAGCTCCAGTGAAAGATCTTTCAAGTTGGACAACCTGCGCTGTGGCACCTGGTACAAGGTTAAACTGGCTGCAAAAAACAGTGTGGGAGCCGGTCGCATCAGCGAGATCATTGAAGCCAAGACTCACGGCAGAGGTGAGGAACTCTAGCCATCTTAAGGCCAATTTATACTTCAGCATCGAGTCCACCCAGTAGGTCCAGCATAGCCTACACTTCACTGTCTCCTGACCTGCACCTCTCAAAAAATATAAATACGCAACTTAAAGCATAATGCATGATCTGTGTTTTGCCAACTTGTTAGCAGTGACAAGTGTGAGTGGGGACTAGAGCGAGACCAGTAGCGGAAGTTTTTTTAAACAACTAGTGTGTCCCATGGATGAATACTTTTGTTTTGTGTTTATTTTATGAATAAAGTTGTTGAACGTTCACAAGTTGCCACCTCTTTCTAGACTAGCTTCACACGCATGTCTGGTGTAAACTCAAAACACCAGCAAAAAAAAAGCTCAAAACATTAGAACATAGAAACCCTACCTCCTACAAGCATTTCGGAAGTGTTCTTGCAGAGAACCACAGACAAAATGCAGAAGTATAAATGATCACAACAGCATTGGTTACATGCAGGGGGTGGCAGACACCCCAAGGTCATCAATCGACCCTTAAGTACAAATCAGGCTTTGCTTCATTACTGTAGTTCAATTAATAATTTTCATTAAAATTAATTATTCTACCAACTCTTTGAACAGTTCCATGTGACATTATTCTTTCTCAATAACCCTTGGTAATAAAAACACATTTTTCTACTTTACCTTCAAAATTGTGACCGGCTAACTTCTGTTTGTCCTACCTTCTGTTGTCCTACTTTTACTACTTTAACATTTAAAAATGTAGGTTTCTCAATTCCGAGAACGCAGAGAATTTGTCAAGATACTTAGAAAATAAAAAAATTCGGAGACCACGAGAACACAACATGTCCTGATAGAAATGAGAGGCTGCATTCTGCCTGATGGTCACATGACCTTCACGTATCTTAACGGAAAATTATTTAAACATTACAATAAAGCATTCGTACAACAATTTATTGCTTTCTTGTTCCTTTTTGATATAAGAAAATACTTTGCACACTACAAATAAAACTGATTTTAATATGAATGTTAGCATTTAAACACCCTTAATGCGTTTATGCCTTTATTAAGATCATCATGTTAATGTTTACTTTCACCATCTCATTTATCTCAGGAGTTTCCCTGAATAAGTTATTTCTCTTAACATTAATAATTAATGTTAATAAAAAGCTACATAAAAAAGTACACAAAAACTTCCCAACTCCTTAATTCAGCCGCAATGACTTCTGAGACTTCTAGAGCAAGCTTTGCATCAATCATCCTCGATATCAAGAACGCATGCGGGTCTTTTCACACATCCTCCGTTCTTGCAGTCTTAAGTTTTGGAACTGAACTTTGGCGGTTTATGATGACGATACACGACAACACAAGCAAGAATGCATATTAAAAAACAGCCAAAACTTATTGTTGTGAAGCCATTGATAAATTTTCTTCCTAAATTGTTCCTTTAAAACATGACGTTTTTGAACACTATAAAATGTGGTGTTTTTTGTTTTTGTTTTTCAGAGCCACAGTTCAATAAGGACCAGCCTCTCTTCACTCACATCAACTCCACTCATGCACGCATGAACCTGCAGGGCTGGACAAGTGGGGGCTGCCCCATCACCGCTGTCCTGTTAGAGTTCCGCCCCAAAGGCACCTGGGCCTGGCAGAGTGTGCGCACCAACGCCTCGGCAGACATCTTCCTTGCAGAGCTGCGTGAGGCCACCTGGTATGAGCTGAAGATGAAGGCCTGCAACAGCGCCGGCTGTGGAAACCAGAGCTCCCAGTTTGCCACTCTGGATTATGATGGGAGTAAGTTCCAAGAGAGAGCAAACCTTTCTGAAAAGATTGCTTGTTTTTTTGCACAACTGAAACAAACTCCAAATAGATTTTACTGTAGCATGAGTGTGTTTGAAATTACATCACGCCAGTTCATTCAGGCATAAAACAGATTGGAGCCTTAAGTCAAGTAACTTGATTGTCATTTAGTACTTGTACGGATATACAAATATAAATCCTCCAGGGCCTATAATACAGGACAGCACAAAAGAACATGCCCAATTAGCAGTTAAATCAATTAATTAAGCTGTTTTAGGTCTGAATTTTAGAGATAACGGACCTTGACATGAGCACTATCTCGATCTATTCACTTATCTGTGTTTTCTCTCCTCCGCAGGCACAATTCCGCCTATTAAGTCAGCACGAGGGGAAGGAGATGATGTTAAAAAGCTTTTCTCTATCGGCTGTCCTGTCATCCTGGTCACATTGGGTATGGCTCTGCTCTTTATTATCCGCAAGAAACGCAAGGAAAAAAGACTCAAGAGACTCAGAGGTGAGAGCAAAAGAGGCAGGAAAATGTACTTTACATTTAAATATTCAGTAAAAGTATATTATTATTTTTATTAAATAATTTCAAAGCTTCTTTTTGAATATTCTATTATGTCATATGTTGTATTATGCAACTTTACAGTTTTTTTTTTTTTTTTTTTATGAAATGCTTCTTATTTCCCATGCAGATGCGAAGAGCTTGGCTGAGATGCTTATCAGGTAAGGATATAGTTAATAGTCTCTATACAGAACTCAAAAATTAAAACGGCACATTAATTGAATCTGAGGAACTGGCAGTGGCAATACTTTTTTTCCTCTGTCTTTGTGTGTGTCTGTCTGTGTTTGTTTTGCACCTGGAGCAGTAAGAACAATCGAAGTTTTGACACTCCAGTAAAAGGCCCACCTCAGGGACCTCGACTACACATTGATATCCCACGCGTGCAGCTTCTTATTGAGGATAAAGAAGGAATCAAACAAATAGGTCAGTGTGTTTGCATATAGCCAAGTCATAAACTAGTGTAATATACTTGTAAAAAATAATAAATGTAAATTATATATGTTTTAAAAAATATTTTAGTTCAAAACTTTGGGATCTGAATGTTAATTAATGAATATTTAAATAGTTCACCTTAAAAAATTAAGCTACGGCTGAACAAAATAACTCAAAGCGGCTTTTTAATCAATATCTATTTTTTTATTACTGAATTAAACATGACAAACCAATAAGAAACATACATTTTCCTCAAGACTTTTGTAATGGGTAATGTGTAATGTTGTGTGTGATAGGTGAAGACAAGGCCACCATCCCTGTGACCGACACTGAGTTCAGCCAATCGGTGAACCCTCAGAGCTTCTGTACGGGCGTGTCTGTGCATCACCCCGCCCTCATCCAGAACACAGGCCCTTTGATTGACATGTCAGACATCAGGCCGGGCACCAGTATGTCACAACTCAGAAACTCATCCCATAATAGGCTGAATAGTGGAGAATGTTTCACACACCATCTCGTTTTACTTTTCCCAGATCCAGTATCGAGGAAGAGTGTGAAATCTGCACACAGCACAAGAAACCGCTATTCAAGCCAGTGGACTCTGACTAAATGCCAGGCATCCACACCTGCTCGCACTCTCACCTCAGACTGGCGGACAGTGGGCTCGCAGCATGGCATTACAGTTACAGAGAGTGACAGCTACAGTGCCAGCTTGTCCCAGGACACAGGTCTTACACAAATTTTACTTATTTATAGTCTGTCTATTTTGATCATATTATGTGTAGTTTAAATGACTCTTTTTTTGCCAATCAATTGATTATCAACACATTTACACTCTCTTTGTCCTCTTGTGTCCTCAGATAAGGGACGTAACAGTATGGTGTCTACAGAAAGTGCGTCTTCCACATACGAGGAGTTGGCCAGAGCATACGAACATGCTAAGCTGGAGGAGCACCTACAACATGCCAAGTTTGAGATTACAGAGTGCTTCATCTCCGATAGCTCCTCTGATCAGATGACCACTGGCACCAATGATAACGCAGACAGCATGACCTCTATGAGCACGCCATCTGAACCAGGAATCTGTCGCTTCACTGCCTCTCCACCCAAACCACAGGATTATGACCGTGGCAAAAACGTGGCAGTGCCCATACCCCATCGAGCCAACAAGAGTGAGTTGATGATGTATTCAGGTGCTTTTAGAGGAGCACTCCACTTTTTAGAGAATATGCTCAATTTACAAGTCCAGTTAAACAGTTAAGTTTTACTGTTTTTGAATCCATTCAGCCAATCTCTAATTCTGGCAGGAGCAATTTTAGCTTGGCATAAGTTACTGAATGAATTGTCCTTTTAGCAAAGTACTTGTCGAGACAATAATATTGATTAAAGAAATGAAATTCTGATTCTTTCATGAATAATCTGGTTACAGTATGTTCACAAAACCATAAGTTGTCCCATTTGCTATTTTAGCTTGCAGAAGGGTGCTTGCAAGTCCATTTATGGCAGATACAGTATGTTCCCCTTGATGTGCACTTCGCACTGAGGGAAGGTCCAGAGTAGACCTCTACCCAGTAAAGAGGCATTACACCACAAAAGCACAGACTCGGTGAAAGGGCTTAGGATGCCATTTCAAATTGGGCCAATGGCCACAATATTGAAGGGTCATTCTAAACTGGAAGCAGATTATTAAACTAGAATGAGAGTATAAATCCTAGCCACATCGACCCAGAAAACAGCAGCTTTTCGTTTTCTGCCAGACTTCATACACAATTTAACTACAAAAGAATAAAGCTTTAAGCAGGAAAATTGTTAAAAGTCTTTAAAATTTAATATTGGCTAAATAGATTAAAAAGTGTAAAACGAGTAAAACTCACCAGTTTAAGTCCAAGTAACTTGTAAAATGTTATTTAGCCTTCTTATTGTCAATAATAGATAACAGTATTATGATATAAATGTATTTATTTCCTGCAGGTGAGTACTGTAACCTCCCCCTATACATGAAGACGGACCCTTTCTTCCGAAAACAGGCAGAACTGCACGATCCCTGCCCGGTGGTCCCGCCTCGCGAAGCCTCCATCCGGAGCCTCGCTGCCCGGGCCTATCACACACAGGGTCGTCACATGACATTAGACCCCTCCAAACAGCAGGCCCTGACACTGGGCCATGGTGGCTTGAGCAGCCTGACCAGCTCAGGGGCCTCTGGTACATCGGGCCCACCCTCAAGCGGGGCCGCTGGGAGCTCCAGCATCAGCTCAGGCACAGCCACCCTGCCCCAGAGGACTCTCACCATGCCCAGCACCTCCTCCACATCCTCAGCCCCAAGTGGGGCAGTTGCCGCTGGAGCAGGAGCGAGTGCAAGCTCCACAGGAGGCAGCGGCCCGACGCCCGGGAGCTCCAAGGTTGGAGGATCCAGAGACTCTCTGCTAGAGAGCAGCTCGTCCGGGCTAGGCAGACTGCAAAAGCAGAATGCTGGGGCATACTCCAAATCCTACACTCTGGTGTAGCTCACATACACGTATACGTATACAGATACAGTACATTCACACGCAAACCTGGAGTCTGAGCAGGGGCGGAAATAAACAATGGCAGGACAGGGGTCTCTTTCTCTCCTTTCCTCTCAGTTACCTTAATTTGCTTTTCTTTTTAATCTTCTGCTCAAGCTTTTTATTCAGCCTTCTCCAGGATTAAATATGCCAAACCCCAGGAACCTTTCCCTTATTTTGCCTTTTTTTTATTACATTTTTGTCCTTCTCTCTCACTTTCTTCCCCACTCGCCTTTCTCTTCTCTGTCAAAGACACCTTGGACCTTATGCACGAAATGCTTTCCATGTGCATTTGTTCATTTGATTTCTTAACCAGAAAATAGGGAAAAGAGGTTTTAAGAGACGAATTGTTTCACATTAACCCATCTAGATGTTTTCAGGCTGTCAAAAACATTTTTTTTCCGTCTCTCAAATAACGTCATACTGCAACGCATTGCCTCGGAAAGCTTATGCATAAACAAATCCACAATGGTGTCCACCTTCCGCCCCTCCTGATCCTCATTGGTCCGGAAAAAACAGCTCAAAGACGAAAAGTCTGAACCGCCTGAATCGAGTCTTTGCGATTTTTTCATGCAATTGATGACACAGTATAGAGTGTTATTGACTATTTTGTAAACAAACCAGAAAATCATGAAAAAAATGTCTGGAGCCATTTTCACAAAGGATGTATGGTTACTGTACTTTTATTATTACTTTTTTGTTCGGTTTTCTATTTTTAAATTTTGAACTTTAGCACTAAGAAGGGTCGAGTGGATCCACTGAGCTTTCTCAAGCTTGTGTATGTGTGGTGTGTGCATGTGTATGTATACGTGTAAAGATATATGTATACATGTTGTCAGCACACACCTTTAAAGGGACCTCTCGACCAGGCCTGTGCTTGGTCTCTCAGCATCGGAAAGGAATCTGTTTGGAGATGCCAAGTGCTGCCCACTGAGCTACAAGGTCCCCAGTCTATCTGAAAAGGGGTGACGGGACGGAGAGAATACCGAAAGGGTAGAATAATCTCCCTTCTTAGCTCTCTCAACTCCTTTTTAATATGAAAGAAAGGCTCTGGTTTTGTTGTTTGTTTGTTCGTTCGTTTGTTTGTTCGATTGTTTGTGTTTGATGCCATAAACTTATTACCCCTCCTTCCCCAACCAGACCTCCCCGAAAAAGTATTACCACTTCCTCTGTCTCACTGTGAACGCCTAACAGCCTCTCCTGGATAAGGCGGGAAGAGGGCAGAGAGGTAGGGGGGAAGTAGAGGCAGATGGGCCCATGAACAGAGAGGGAGAGATATCTGCCGTCGCTGTGTAGCTTTTCTGCGTTTATTCATTGTTTCTCTTTATTCTTTGCTTTCCTTCCCCACATGAAGACTCTAATGGTCATTCCTATTCGAAGGTCTTAGAGACTCTAGCTTTAGGTAGCGCAGGGGTGGATAGAGGAGGGAATGAGTGAAACATAGGAGGGGGAGTTTTTCGTTCTGCCCCTAAATGAATCGAGTATCCTCTCAACCCTCCATCGTTCACTCAGTTTCCAAAGCAAAGCCCCATCACAGAGAAACTTCCAAAAATCAACAAACTCTCCCAATGATTTAAATGGAAAAAAGTACTACATCAGGGCTCCTGCAATACAAAAGAAAAGAAAAAAAAAAGAAAATATATTGCAATGTTTGTTGTCAAAATATATACATATATATTTCTATCTAAAGATATAGTAAATATATACGTGGTGAGAGCAGAGATTTAATGCCATATCTAATTGAATAATAAAATTTTTATTTTAAAAAAAGATTTGAAGACAATCGCTCAGTGGGAGGTGCAGCAGTAAGCGAGAGGAGGTGTTGATTATGAAATGCTGAGATAAACGGGTAACATAAGAAAGACTGAAAAGGAATGGCAGAGGTTGCATTTTGACATACAACGGCAGTCGCCGTGTTGGGGATTCTGGGAAAAGACCTCTGAGGTTCCCAAACTAACTTCCTGTCATTGTTATAATCAGCCGGGCTGCATAGTGCAACATGCCTGTATGATATGAAGGAGATATTTATGGACATTTCCCAACACACTCTCTACAGTTGCTTGGAAACAATGGAAATGTGCCACTGCAACTCCAGCTCGTAGATGGACCCGCGACATCTGTGCGTGCCATCTCATTCCATGCACCATCTCTACTGCCCAATGAGTAGCTCAAAATACCCACAGTGCTTTGAGAGCTTTCCATCAGGCCCTTAAAGAGACAGTTCGTCCAAAAATGAAATTTCAGTCATCATTCGTTCATGCTCATGCTGTTTCTAAACCTATGTTAACTGATTCTTGTTGAGGAAATGTTCAAATATTCTTTTTTTTTTTTTGTCCAAACAATGTAAGCAGGGGTGTTGCAATGTACATATCGAGAAAATAATTTTGATTAAAAAAAAAAATGGAATTCTGATTATTTCATAAATAATCTAGTTACAGTATGTCCACAAAACTATAGGTTGTCCCATTTGTTATTTGAGCTTGCAGAAGGGTGCTTGCAAGTCCATTTGTGGCAGATAAGTTCCCCTTGATGTGCACTTCGCACTGACAGGACCTCTACCCAGTAAAGAGGCATTACATCACAAAAGCACAGACTCGATGGAAGGGTTTAGGGTGCCATTTCAGATTGGGCCAATGGCCACAATATTGAAGCGTCATTCCAAACTGAAAGGAAGACTTCAAAGGAACCAATTCAAATGGCCATTCAGAACGAATTTATGGGACAATTTTGGCTCCCATTACACTTTTCACAAGTTTAATCATGCATTCCAAAAAAACAGTTTTTTGGGCTCTCTACATACTCATCACTTTGAAGATTTCCATTTGGAGGGTAGGATTTAGAGCATATAAATGGAACACAGCCCCAGTATGTAGCTACTATTGCTGCACAAAACCGTGTCTGCTAGAACTGCCAATCAACAGGAAGTTCATCTTTTACCCTTACATGTACAGTTTTATGATTTGTGCTCCGCCCACCTAAACTCATATTTTGAGCATGATTTATTGACCATGAAAGATAAAACAAAGTAAATAAAGATGAATTTCAATGGATATAATAATAATAATAATTATAATAATCAATTTATTTGAGTACAATGATCACAGTTTACAGTGCCACAAAACTTGGAACATGCTGAATCCCAATTCACATACTTATACTATGCCCTAAAAGTATGTACTTTTTTGGTAAAGGAAAATGATATATTTTATCATATTATATTTTGAGAGTGTCATAGAAGAGTAAGTAAGCTTTGTGACATACTACTGCCTCATAAACAGATCTTTAGGTTGCTTAGTTACTTCCCGTCAATTATCTCGACACATCATCCACATTTCTTTCATATTTAATCACCTACCTTATTGGAAAAAAACAGCAGCAGGATAATCTGCCATTTGCGAGTCTTACATGCAGAGAGATCTCATCAGGTCTTTGGGTAATTAAGCATTCAGAAGTAAATTCCCAAACATATCTTAATATAAGTTTACATTGTTGTTGCAGAGGAAATATAATAGAGAAAAGTTGCTTTAAATATGTTCCAGTTGGCTAGATACTGATTAACAGTTATTCAAAGAACTTTACCGAAGCCTCCCTACTTGACAGTTGGTCTAACATGTCAGCCATGTTTAAAGTTTGTTTCCACTTTTCACCTGTGTTTCTAATTAATTTTATGTCCATTGTGCAATGTATTGTGGGTAATATAAGCAGTTAGAGTATGAATGCTTCTACACTTTGAATTTTTACCAGAAATAGTAAACCAATGAGGAACCTTTGGCATACACTTTTCAACATACTATGATTTGAGACATACTAATTCTATTTTTAAATGCTAATAAGGATGGATGGTATGTGAATTGGGACGCAGCAACAGACTTTCATTGTATGGACAAAAAAGCTAAAAACTATTTAAAAATACTAATAATAATAATCTTCTTATTGGTTGTTTCATAAAAAAAAGTTTTGTGACTGAACAAATTATGATAGAAGGATGAACTATAGCATTTAGGTCAGGTCGCTATTTTGATTTAAAAAAATTCAAGCTTTCAGCACGTCTGATAGGTCAAACTTTCTAAATCAGGAGAAAGATTGCTACATTTATGTACTGCATATTTATGGATGACTTAAAACATGCAACCCCTGCAATAGACTCACAGGAAATAGTACACATTTATTGTTTGTTCAACAGGCTTCAGTTTTAGGCAGCCGTCTGAACATATCTCATGATAGGAAGACTTGACGCAACAAATCATAAGGTTAAGAATAGGGACATGAAGTGTTGGGTTTAAAATTGAGCGAATTGAATGAGAATATATATATATCTGTTTGTGGCATATGAAAAACAAAAATCTGTTTGACTTACCAGGAGATGTTATATTGGTCACTTAATAAAATAGGATTGTGTTACAGTGTACCCCAAAGTTGTGTAAGATAAATTTGATCGCCCAGATTCAACCCAATCTAGAGACAGATTTGCAAAGAATGTGGACTTGTTTAAAAAAAAACAGTGAAAGAATTATGTGTTCCTCTTATTGCTGCTCAAATGCCCACTGACTGGGTTATGTGTCTGTCTGATGGCAGACGTGCCCAGTGCATTTTGCCATGAACATGTTTCATTAAGATTAGACCGATATCTATATCAGTGTTCATGCCTGTTCAGGTGAAATGATTCCCTTAACCATCCCAAAAGTCCGATGTATTTTGCTTTTCTTACCTTTAAAAAACATTTGCTGACTATAAATGAACTTGATTTAATCTTTGGTTGCATTATTTATTTTTTTTTTTTCCAGGTTTCCAGCTGTTTTTTGTTCAGTTCGATGATGATTTACGTTGAAAAGAAAATGCAGTTGTGTTGCGCAACGGGGCAGGCCTGTTTAGCAAGTCTTATCAGGGACCCCTAAGCTCCAACCAATCATAGGAGAAGCTATGTGGATTTTGGGAGGAGTTGGGATTAGAACTCCTCTCCACATGCCTGTTTCCCCGCCCAAATTAGCCCCTTTTACTTGACCAATAAAAAATTCCTCCTGCTATACCCAAGGCGTCCCTGTCAGCATAATAATTTCTAATCTACAAATAAAGACTCTTGTATATATGAAACTGTTTTGTATAAATAATTACTATTTTCGACATCTCCATGAGCAACCAGGGCACAATTATAAGTCTGGTTAAAGGTATAACTTTAAATGTGAGGGGATTAAAAAGACACAAAAAAGTATAAAATCTAAGAAAAAAGACTTTACACCTTGAGTTTTGAATGGGGCACATGAACCCAGACCAGATGTCTGGCATTTGAGTTCTTTTTCTCCTTTTTTATAATTTGTCCTATGTTTTGATTAATTTATGTTGTTGGATGTTTTGTTTGTTTTTACTTTTGTTTGGTTTCTACCTTTTTGGTTAACTTGATGAAAAATGGCATTGCATGCTCTGAATATTTTGCTGGTTATTAAAAGTAAAAAGGAAAAGGAGACAAATAACTAAAAGGGAAAAAAATATTAAAAACGCGGAGGGGATTCCTAAACTTTTATGGAAAAAGTTGCTTAAATTTGCAATTGCTTGTGTTTAAATATACATTTTTTTTCTATGAAAATGAAACAAAAACAGAAAAAGAGTACTCCAACACCTTGTGCAATAAAGCTATCTTTCTATGAATGGTGCCTTGTCCCTTGTGTGATTTTTTTTTTCTTTAAAAGTACATAAATATTTATTTCATCAACAGACATGATAAACTATACCATATTGAATTGTGTTAGCCAATAACACCGTAGAAATATGTGACAACAGCAAATGGCCTTGCATTTAATCTACATTTTAAGCCAGACATTAGGGAGTTACAACAGTTACTGTATGTTTACATTTTACAAATGTATTCACAACGTTTTAAAATTTAGTAAACTAAATTGTTAAAGATAAAATGGCAGTCTGCAGGACTCGTAAAATCCGAAATCTATCTTTACCTACCCGGTGTGCCAGTGGAAAAAAATCTGTATTTCAATTAGGCATGGACCGGTATAAATTTTGGACAGTATGATAACCTTGCATGGAAAAAAACACAAATTTCCAGTATCACGTTATTGTGATTACTGCTCTAAAATAAGTTATTTTTAAATTTCTAGGTAAAACGAGATACAATATATTTTAATATTTATATTATTTTGGAAAATGTCAGGTTAAATAAGATAAAATTATTGAGTTCTTCATTAGTTCTTCATTAGTTTCAAAAACACATATTAACTTACAATATAAACTTACATATACCTTGAGAAGGGTACACTCTCAGAAATAAAAGTACGGGAGCTGTCACTGGGGTGGTAAGTTTTCAAAAGGTACAAATTTGTACGTAAAACGTCCATATCATTACTTAAAGGGTAAATATTAGTTCCTTAAAAGTACAAAAAAATTTAGGTACTAATGTATACTTTTGAGGTACCAATATGGACCATTTAAGTACAAATGTGTACCTTTTGAAAAAGTACAACCTCAGTGACAGCTCGCGTACCTTTATTTTTGAGAATGTATAACAGTCCATTTCTGTGGTTTTAAAACCTTGACATTTGAAAACCGCGGTAAACCTTGAAACCGGTTATTGTCCCATGCCTAATTTCAATGCCTCTACATTTTCTCACAGAGTAAAACATTATGTATGTGCTGTTCTGCTGATAAAGCAGCAATAAATCCACTTGTTGTTAATAAAGTTGAAAAGCCAGAATATTATCAACCACCTCTCAAATAACATATATAATACATACAGTTGAGTTAAAGTCAGAATTATTAGCCCCTGAATTATAAGCCCTGTTTATTTTTTTTCTTCAATTTGTGTTTAATGGATATTCTTTTCAACATATTTCTAAACAAATTAGTTTTAATCACTCATTTCTAATAATTGATTTTTTTAGGGATGCTTCAATATGAATTATTTGGCTGATATTGATAACCAATAACTCTTCAGACTTGGAGGCCGATAGCCGATATAAATAAGACGATAATTATAAATATTTCAAAATGGTACATTTTTATACAACAAACTTCATAAAATATTGAACTGCTCTTATGAACTGAATAGTATATATTCAAAGCAAAACAGCTATAATTTCAAAATTGCAAGGTGATTATATAGACCTATATTCAAAATTTCACATAAATCAGCATCCAAAAAATAAATGATTTTCTTTTCTTCATAGCAAATTTACATGCAACTTAACGGTTGCATAAAAATAATAGGTTAAATAATAAAATGGGATTTCAACAAAATCAACAAGAATCATCAAACATGAATCAACAAGAAAGTTAAATATGTTTTAAATAAAATAAAATGAAAAAGCCAAGGACTGAAGCCAGCTTAAATGTTCTTGAATAAAAGGTTTTACAGTGATGTACATATGTACAAATATGTCATGTCCGAAAAAGCCTTTTTTAGAGGTGTTTCGACAGTTCAGAGCCACCGTACAAGCAAACAGCTAAATATAGATAGTACTTTTACTTTAGAAAATGTGCCATAGATTCATCCTATTTGGCGTTTGTTTTAGATTCTTTTGGACACGTGTAGCTGCTGCTTGTCAGTCAGACAATGCTTATATGTTCGTTTTTGCTGTCAATTGAGGAAAAAATTATCGATGAAAAGTTTTTGATAAACCGCTGTGAGTTTCGTTCAACTGTGGGCGCAGATTTTCCCTCGCAGTCAGATTTTGATTTAATACCTAAACTGATCATTAAGCACAGATGACTTTATGATAAACACAGTGCATAATATAAAGAAAGAATGTGTGGTGAGTTAAGAGCCCCTATGCTGGATTTAGTGACTTACGCACTTCTCCCCTGTGCTGCTGTGATGGCTGTCAGTTCAGTGTGTATGTATGCAGTGACAGTCCTCACATATGCTCGTTAAAATCAATATGAATATTCTAATCAAACTGAATACAATCTTACATCAACAACACATGGCAAGCAACGTGTTGATAATAACAAATAATCATATTAGATTACAAACAACCCAACAAGTTAAGCACGTGTGCATCACTGCTGTTATGTTTACACATGTTATATATTTTTTTCTGAGGCGATTTAAAGCAAAATACACAATGGCACTCAATCAAACATATCTACAATAAGAAGGAATGTGGTTACTTACTGAGTTATTAACGCACAGCAACACCACATGATGTTAGGACGGACTTTGAAGAAATAAACTATGTGAGGAGAGCTCCATTATAATGCACTGGACAAGTCTGAACAATTTCCGCCCACGCATGTGAGAGGCAGACAGTTTCGTACAATTACGTAATTTATCGGCTTAAAGATATAGGCCTAGTTTATCATATCGATAACGATAATCTTAAAAATAACATTTAACGGCCGATAACGATATGGCCGCCAATATATCGTGCATCCTTATGATTTATTTTATCTTTGCCATGATGACAGTAAATAATATTTTCCAAGATATTTTCAAGACACTTCTATACAGCTTAAAGTGACATTTAAAGGCTTAACTAGGTTAATTAGGTTAACTAGGCAGGTTAGGGTAATTAGGCAAGTTAATGTTTAATAATGGAATGTTCTGTTGTGTCCGAAAAAAATTATAGCTTAAAGGGGCTAATAATTTTGAACTGCTTTTATTCTAGCCAAAATAAAACAAATAAGACTTTCCCCAGAAGAATATATCAGATATTATCAAAATTTCCTTGCTCTCTTAAACATGATTTAAGAAATATTTAAAAAAGAAAAAAAAAATTAAAAAGGGGGCTAATAATTCTGACTTTAATTGTATATAGAAATACTTTGAAACATTTTGAAATGTTTTTATAGCTGCAAAAAAAAAAAATGTTCACTTAGCATCATTTTTTATATTTTATTTTTGGTTATTTAAAAAAAATTAAATAAAAACTTTAAGTTAAATATTACAATTCTGTTGATTTAAAAATAAACATATAGCTCATAACAAATTCCATTATATATATTTTTACTTTTTAATTACATATAAAATTAAATTTTTGCCATTATCACCCAGCCCCAGTACCGTGCCATTAGGTGCTTGCTTACCATTGACAATGCAGAATTCATCCATTCATCCATCCTTGCTCCAATATTTTTGTTCTCTTTCATTAATGCTCAGCACTTCAAATTATCTGATTGAAAGGTGGCCAGTTTTCTGAAATGGAAATCACAGACACTTCCTTATACAGTGTTCAAGATATTGTAGTAAAAAGTGAAAAATGTGAACGTAAAAAGGTAAAAACTGGCATATTTTGTATGGGACATCTGGCAGGTTTTGAAGTTGTTGTTATTATTTAGTTTTTTTTTTTTTTTTTGTAACTGGGATTCTTATAATTAATCCCAGTTACAAAAGCATAATAAAAAGCATAATTAAAAAAATATAATAGTAGAAATATAATAAGCATAATTAAAAATATAGGTCACAGTAGCAAACAATCATTCCACATTTTATTACACAAATCAATAACAAAATTAAGGCTAGAAAAAAAATTACAAAACAAAAGTGAATATAACTTATTTTAACAATATCTAAATGCATTTAACATTTTATTCAAACATTTCAAATGTTATTTTATGTTTAAGCTTTCGTGTTTTACTCTAATTTGAACCATTCTACAGTGTTTGCGTTTCTGCAAACGAAATTATTCAGCTCATTTAATGCTAATGCCTGTATGATGATGTGCTGTAATGGGGATCTTTCTGGAATGAGAAACTAGACCTATAACAGGCATGCGATACCATTTTAATTTAACCTGAATAATCAGCATATAACTACCTTGAAAACGATCACGATGGCACCAGGATGGCACTCTTTCACCTTGCCATTACGGCATGCACTAAATTCCAGGGGTTTCATTACCACGACGTAAAATGGGCGTGGCTCGGTCGGTGTTTGGGAAACGCCCCCTTAAAAAAAAAAACAATACTGAGAGGTCACCGATCATGCGCAGTACAGGTTCTTTTTTAGCGCGGTCATTTCAAACAGGATGATTATGGATAAAGAACCCACCGCGGTGGATAACGAAGGAAAAAAACAATCATACAGGTTATTTTTTTGTGTTTATAATGTTATATTTTAAAGATTTCATTAGCAAAAACGGCTGACCTCATTTTACTCCGTTTTACTGTCTCTGGGCTTTTGTACTTCCATTTTAAACCAAATAATAATGGTTGTGGTAAGATTAACCGTGTTTTTGTAGTTTAAAATATGGTATTCAGTCATGTTTAAACAAATAAATACCACATTTTCTGTAATAAATCGTGGTTATTTTTTCTTTCTCGATCTTAGTTAATTAACATAACTCATATTTATTTTCTATTTTTCATTTAAAGTCATCATACATAAAACACCTGGGATCAGGACAGGTATCTGATGTTAACTAATATAAAAGTGATCATACATGAATCCCCTGGGATCAGGACAGGTATCTGATGTTAATATATATATAAAAGTGATCATACATGAAACACCTGAGATCAGGACAGGTATCTGATGTTACTGTATATAATATAAAAGTGATCATACATGAATCCCCTGGGATCAGGACAGGTATTTGATGTTAATATATATATAAAAGTGATCATACATGAAACCCCTGAGATCAGGACAGGTATCTGATGTTACTGTATATAATATAAAAGTGATCATACATGAAACACCTGG